CGCTGGCCCAGCACGCGGCCCCGAGGCAGGACGAGGTGTGCTGTCAGCTCCCCGCTGTCCATTTTCCCCCTTTTTCCCTGGTTCCCACCTCACCCCTGCAGCCCAGCCCTGCTTCTGCTGCAGCCCCCGTGCGCACATCTCCCAGCGTGGTGTTCGTAAGCGCTGTGGCTTCATCCCCACCCAAACCCATCTCAGCAGAAGTGGTTTTTGCAGCTGTGCCCTGAACAGCACATTTTCAAAATCCACGTTTCCTGCCGCAGGAGCTAAAGGACTTTGCCCCCCACGCGCTTCATTTTCTCCCCCTGTCCCATCCCCAGGAAGGTGAACATCACCGCGCTCATCTCCCACCTCAGAGCCGCGCGCTGCTGCGGGGAGCTGCCATCCCAGCATCGGGCACACACAGGATGGGACGCGGGGCCGCAGGCGGGGCTGTTCCCAGGGCAGAGATGGAGGAGATGCCTCAGGCAGAACGCACACTGCCACAGGTTGGGGTTTGCTTGGGCACCGCTGCCCTGCTCCGCTTCCACGTCAGATGGCACTCTGTGCCGCTGCAGCCCCGAAGCCAGCACAGCCCCTGCACAGGGCGAGGCTGCAGGGCTCCACCAAGACAACGACACGAGGCCTCTGTGCCAACCTCAGGTTTTGGGGCAGCCAACCTCTCCTGATGTGCAACACACACTGCTCTGCTGCTGCCTATGCACAGAGGCTCCCAAGAACAGCCTGAAGCCCCAAAGCCCTCTGCTTGCGTACGGCGGGGCTGGGGATGCATCTCCATCCTTGTTCTACCACTGGGGCTGACAGCAGCTCCAGGACTACCAGGCTGAGTGGAGTCACCGTGCTGGCACCATCCCAGGGCACCCAACGTGTCTCCAAACCATCACCACACACCTCAAGGAGCCACAGACCCACTGCTGGGGGGGAACCAGAGTGAACCCCAGCATCAGCCCTGCTGCTCTTCCCTACACGACCCACTTGCCCACCCAGCCCGGCGGCTGCGTCCCTGAAACTGAGCACACTGAGACATGGAACATGACAGCTCCTCAGAGGAGGTCCCTATGCCGAACACACGGACAGAGGGCAGAGCCCCTCACAAACTGACAGGAAAGAAGCAATAAGAGTTACTCACCGAACCCTATGGTGTGCAGGATCGATTCCGTGCTCATACACAATGAGGGGCAGGCAGGACAGAGCTGGGCTGCGGTGCTGGGCAATGTGTGGCTGTTCTGCATCCTATGAGCCCCCCAGCACAGCCAAACCATCCCGCCCCAATAAACGCAGCTGTGCAAGGAGCTGGGCAAAGTGCACGGCAATGCGCTGCTTCACTGCCTGCTGCCCCAAGCTGCTCAGCCCCCAGCACAGCCCCACGGCCCAGCAGAACCGGTGGAAGGGAGAAAGGGGGGGGTTCCCTGTGCCACCTCTCAGCACAGTCACGTGCAGAAGCTTTGCCAATGAGGCAGAATAAACAGCTTTCAGATCGCCTCCAAAGCGGGGCCCCCGGTGGGGTTTTCTTCCCCCCACCCCTCCTGTACGTTAAAAAAGATTTTTATTCCTGGTGCCTGTTTTCACAGCTGCCTGCGTACCTGAAAGGAATCTTCTGCCCCTCCTCAAAAACAAAACAAAAATAAAAAGAAGTTTTATTACTGCACCTTCCACACTTCTGATAAACGCATGCAGGCAGAGGAGCCGCAAGAAACCCCTTCTGCTTCCCAGCCATGCTCTGCTCTGCTCAGAAATAAAATACATAAAGCAAACAAACAAAATCCAGAACCACCACACCAACCCCACCACACCACCGCCCCGAGGTGCTTCTGTGTCCGAGCTTCTGGTGCTGCTGGACCCGATTCCTGCAGCACAGGAGGAGCTCTGCTGGAGCACGAAGCGCAGCGCTGCTCCCTGCCAACGCGGGGACGGGGAGCGCCGGGCTGAGCTGACGGCTCCAAGCACGCGGCCAACAGCAGCTTTTATTTTATTGCATTTCACTTTTTATCCTTCTTTTCTTTTTTTTTTTTTTTTTTTTTAATAGAAGAAATGGGACTGAGCCAAGCCGTGCCCAGCAACGCTGCCGGCACTGTAACTCGGCACAGCCCTGCACGGACATCCCGGGCCCAGCTCACAGCTCCCGAGCACAGCGCACAGCAGCAGCATCTCCTCTCGGCCCAACTCCCCCCCGACCTCCTCGCTCCCAAACGCGTTTCCCCGCAGCGCTCCGATCCCCGGCAGCGCTCCCTGCAACCCGCGGGCTTTACATCGGAGCAGAACTTTGCAAAGCGATTCCAGTCCGGAGCAGCATCGCAGCGAGCGGCGCGGCCCCGCACAGCGTCCGCAGGACCCGGCCGCTCGCTCCCATCGCCGGGCTGCTCGGCGGGTCCCAGCCCGGGCGCGTTCCGGCTCCGCTCCCCCCATCGCTCCGTCCCCAGCTCACGGCTCAGCCGCAGGAGATGGAAATCAAAGCGGACAGCGCAGCGCGGCGCAGGAGATTGCCGGCGCTCACTGCTAGTGGGGCTGGGGGCACTGCTGGACCCCCTCCCCAACCTGCAGCCATAGCGCTCCAGGCTCCAACGGAGCCCGGCAAAGGGAAAACATCCCGCAGCGAGAGGAGCCCTTCCGAGCCCCCGGCACCGACCGCCACAGCCGCGTGCTACTTTTAAACACGGCTGTATAGAAGTCACGGATGGGGAGGGAGGACAGAAAAGCGGTGGGGGTCTCAGTGCGACACCACCCTTTCCCAGGTGAGAAGGGGGAGGGGGGGCAGGTAGGGAAGGAGGGAAGGCCACGACCCCAAAGTGCACCTTTATGCCTCCTTGCATCTTCCCTCAGTGAAGGCACAGCCCCAACGCTCCCCTTCCCCACACACAGCGCTGCCAGGACCTTGCTGCTGGGGGGCACCCCCTGAGGCCGGGATGGGGGGGATTTCCCCTATTCCTCCTCTGCCCCAAATCCAAATCCAGGCTCCATGCAGCAGCTCAACAGAATTCACTGCGCCCAGCAATGCACGGGCTGACAAAACACGGAGCCAGGGGGCCCCAACAGCAACCCCCCCCAATAATTAATACAAGCCCATACATAAACAGATCAGCCCCCGAACCCGGCCCCACTCACAGCCCCACACCACACACAGAATTTCACCCCACGGCCTTTTCCCGTTGTTCATCTAGATTGAAACGAGGAAAGAATATAATAAAAAGAAAAGAAGAAAAGAAGGCGGGGGAAAGGAACACGAGAAATGTTACAAACCCGCTTATTTCTCCATCCATCCATCCACCCCCGGGGGCTTGTTGGGTTTTAGACTTGAAGGAAAGGTGGGAATTCATAAAAAGAAAGAAAGAAAGAAACTCAGAGTCCGGTTTTGCAGGAGCTCCAGAGCTCTGTTTGTTGGGAATTGAGGGGGGGAGCATCACACAGACCCCAGTGAGTCCCACTGCACCGCACTGATTTTCCATCACACGGCGGAGATTTTTAACACAGAGAAAGAAATACATAAAAGAATGATAATAATAATTAAAAAAAAAAAAAAAAGTAAATCTTACTTCTGATTCGGCCAAGCTTTTAATACAGAAACTAAGAACTAATTATTATTATTTTTTTTTTATTGCTTTACAACGCGACTGGTGGCTCCAGGAAGAACGGGAGAGGATTCCTTCAGGGCTGTGCAAAGCAGAGCGGAGCCCCAGCGCAACTTTACCCCCCCAGCACAGCACGGAGCGTTCTGATTTACCCGAATTAAAAGCGCACGGCGACGGAGAGGGAGAGAGGGAGGGAGAAGGGGAGACAGCACCGCGCTTTGGGTTCGGTCGGTGGGTTTTTAAGAAAAGGAAAAAAAAAAAAAAAAAAAAAAAGATTTTGAGCTGGAAAATGAAAAGCCGACCGCGCTCCACTTGTTCTCTCCCGGCGCTGCTCCGGAGCGCTCCGCCGACGCGGCACTGAGCGGCCGTCCCCAAATCGCAGCCGTGTGACACCGGCGGGGAAGGACCGAACCCCCCCCCCCCCCCATCCCACCCCAAACCCCGCCGGGATCCTTCGGGCGGGGCCGTCCCACCGCGGGGGCGATGCGCTGTTACCCCCCCGGCCCCATTCCCTCCCTGCAGCCCCTTCGGCGCACCGCCCCGACGAACAAAGGCACCGAACCCCGAAAGCCGCCGCACCGCCCCCCCCCCCCAACCCCCGCCGGCCCCAACCCGCGGGGCTCTCCCACAGCCTCTCGCAATTTAATTATTATGATGTTTAATTATTTTTTCCACCTCTCCTCCCCTCACCTCGGAGCGGTCCGACGGCCGCGGGTCGGGCCCGGAGGTGCGGTACAAAAAGTTGGGGCCGCTCCGCTCGGAGTTCTCGCTCCCGAACGAGGGAACGGCTGCGGGATGCGGAGGGGAGGCGTAGGGGGGAGGGAGGGAAAACGGTGGGAGAGGACAGGGGAGAAATGAATAATAATAATAAAATGATAGTAATTAAAAAAAGAAATAGCCCTCAAAGCGGCCGGCGTGAAAACTGCGGCGAGCAACGGAACGAAGGGGGAAAAGGCGAAGTCCCAACAAAGGAGCGCGGCGCGGAGCGGTGGGGGCTGCGGAGCGGATCGGGCCGAAGGGGAGGGAGGGGGTTGGAGGGGAGATGGGGTCAGCTCGGAGCCCCACTCCCAAACCCCACTCCCGCTTCTTCTGTTGCCGGCGGGGAAACGCCTCGGTGGACGGGGGGGGGGGGGGGGAGGGGGGCGGGAGAAGCCCCCGGCACCCGCACACCCGAACTCCCCCCCACACACACCGAGCGGAGCCCCCCGAGCCGCCCCAATCCGCCCCGCACTCACCGACCCCGCTCTCTCCGCCTTTGTCCGAGCGCCGCACAAACTTCCGAGCGGCGCGGAGTGGGGCGGGGGGGGGGGGGGGGGGGGGAACGAGGGGGGGCCGCGCCCGCAGAGTTCCGGGGCCACGGACCCCCCGAGCCCCACACCTGCCGGCCGCGATGGGGCGGGGGGTCCCGCGTCGCCCCCTCGCTCCGCTCTCACCCACCTGAGCGCGCCGAGCGCGGGCCCGCGGCGGGCATGCGGCCGCACCGCCTCCTCCTTTTCCTCCTCTCCTCCTCTTCCTCCCCACCGAAAAAACTTCGACGGGGCGGCCGCGCCGGGGCTGCTGACGGCTTTAGGAGCGGAGCGCCATGGCGGCCCGAGCGGCACCGGCACCGCCGCCGCCCCTGGAGCCCCGCGGCGGCTGCTGGGCTGGGCTGGGCTGGGCGGCGCCGCGCCGGGGCCGTGCGGAGCGCGGGCAGCCCGGGGCCGGGCCGGGGCCGTTCGCTCCGCGCTCAGCTCCGGGGCTCCGCTCGGCGCGGCGGCGGTGGCGGCGGCGGCGCGGGCGCGGCGGCGCGGGGCGGGCGCCGGCCGCCCTACCATAGTTCCTCTAAAGCAGGTGCAGCCGCTTTCCCCGCCCGCCCCCCCCACCCCCCGAGGAAGACGAGGGAGGGAGGGAGGAAGGGGGGCGAGCGAGCGCCCGCCCGCCGCTTTGTGTGGGGGAAGCGCCGTCCCCACTCGTGTGCGCCCGCGTTTCCCGGTCGCGGTGCCGCCCCCCACCTCCCCCTTTTTTGTTAATTAGTGCCCGCGTTAATTGGTTGCCGCCGCGTTTGGTCTCCCGGTGGAAAAGCGTTGGAAGGGAAACTGAGGCACGGGGCGGAGCGGCTCCGGAGGCGGCCCGGGGGAGCGGGGGGGGGGGCCCACGATCCGCTGTGCGGAGGGGAAAGGCGACGGGGTGACCCCCGAACCCCCTCTGCCCCCCACCGCTCACCCACCGGGGCCCCGACCGCCACCAGAGCACCGCGTCAATGCGGCCGAGCCGGCATCCATCTGTCGCCCCACATCTGGACTGAGGGCCCAGACCCCAAATCACAGCGCGGTGATGGGGACCCACCTTCCCCACATCCCCCCCAGATCACAGAATGGCTGTGAGACCCCAAACCCACGCTGTTTGGAGCCGGGGGGGGGAGGGGGGGGGGGGGGGGGTTGCGATCTCTGCCCTGAGGGCGGCTCAGCAAATCTCACGTGGAATCGGGGAAAGAAACTTTTCTGCAAAGTGCCGAAGTTTGTTTCAGCAGCAGCGATGTGGGAGCACTGCTTGTGCTTCAGTGGACATCGCCGGGTTTCGGAGAAATGAAATAGTTTTAAAAGAGAAATTGGAATGAGGAGTTTTTTTTTCACTACTTTTTTTTTTTTTTTTCCCTTTTTTTTTTTTTTTTTTTCTTTTCGTTTTAACAAGAAAAAAAAAAAATAAAAACGAGAACAAAAATCAGAGCTGTTCTTCAGCCAAAAAGCTGAGCACCTGGAATGACCGAGGGGCAGAACAGCAGGCCCAGCATGTGGGGCCTCAGCTGTGCCCTCCCCCCCCGGGCTTGGGGCCCCTTTTTTGGGGCTCGCTGGGTCCCCTTGGTGGGGAGTCACCCTGGGTTTGAGGTCTCCTCGTTTAGGGGTCCCCTTCATTTGGGGGCCCCTGGATGTGGGATCCCCTGGGTTTGGTGCCCACTTGTTTAGGGCTCTGTCTGGGTTTGACGTCTCCTCGTTTAGGGGTCCTTTGATTTGGGATCCCCTGGGTGTGGGGTCCTCTTTTTCAGGGTCTGCATGGTTTGGGTCCCCTTGGTCTGCTTGTTGAGGACCCCCCTTGGATTTGAGCTTGGTTTGGGGTCCCTCTCAGTTTGGGGTCTCCTTGGTTTGAGGGTCCCCCTGGATTTGGGATCTTCTTGTTTAGAGGCCCTTTGATTTGGGGGCCCCTTGGTACAGAGTCCTTTGACTTGGGATCTGCTGGGTGCGGGATCCCCCTGGTTTGGTGTCTCCTTGTTTAGGAGTCCCCTTAGTGTGTGGTCCCTTTATTTAGGGATCTCCTTGGTTCGGGGCTCCCCTGATTTGGGGACAGGCACTGGGTGCCACTGCCCACAGTGGCTCAGACCATCCCGAGGTGTCCGCACAGCACGCAGAGCTTTGTTTCCCCCCCCCGGACACACAGCCATGCGCTCGCTCCCCTTCCTGCCTCCCCATCCCCACGGTGATGCATTGTCCCAGCTTTGCAAGTTCTTCACCAAATATCAGCCTGTGAAAAAGAGAATATATGTTGTTTTTGGGTTTTTTTTGACTCGAGATCCCAAACCGGCACTCTTCTGAGTGAAAAAATAGCTGCGCTGAGAGCAAAGAGCCTTGTCAGACCTGAGCTCACCCTCTTTTCTCCACATAAGAATAGCCCCTTTGAAGACATCAAATAGCATCCGAGAGGGAAGGATTTGCACAAAAAGATGTGGGCAGGCTTCCACCGAGGGGAGGTGGTGGATGGAGGGCGGCCCGGAGATCCCTCTTTGTTCAGAAGGAGCTGCAGAGCCTGGCAGAGGGATGTGGGATGTAGAGGGATGCAGTGGGACGCAGGCACAACTCTGGCAGACACAGCGACAGCACCAGAACCCCACAGCTGTGGGGCCACGGTGTGTGGGGCAGCTGCAGAAGCGCTGTGCATGGACCGGTTTGGGGGTTTTTCTCCTCTTCTGCTTCCCCCATCAGAGCACTGAAAACCTCCGGTGAGCGGATGTTCTCAATCGGAGGCGGTTACCTGGAAGGCAACGACGCCGTTTTGCCATCAGGTTGACAGAAAGCTGAAATCTTTTCTGCTGTGGCAGAGCAGCTTGAAAAAGAAAAGCTGAGTTTATTCTTGTTGGAAAATCAGAGAGGATGAGGATGAGAACAGCCCCGGATTCTGCTTCTTCCCTGACTCCTCACCAGTAAAATAATGACAGTAAAAAATAAAAGATGTAAAGAAGGGAAAACAAATCTGGGGATGGGAAAATACGGAAAATGGGGAGAGTGCCACCTTCTCCCTTTTGGATCAATATTTAGTAGGGAGGGCACAGCGCATTTCCACAGCTCAGCCTCAAATTCCCATCCCTTCCGAGATGCAAAGCAGAAAATCCTATTTTCAGCCTAGCACAGCCCGTGTTTCCGTGCTGCCCTTGGCACAGCGGTGCCTGGCAGCGCTCTGGGGCTCCACCATTTCCATGGTCCTGTGCGGGCGCTGGGGGCAGGAGGAGGTGGATGGGATGGGATGTGCTGGCAGCCCACGGCTCTTGGAGCAGCGCACGTGTTGCGCAAGGCAAAGCAATGATGCACCGAGTTACTGTAAGTGATGAGAGGCTCCTGGCTCTGTGTTAAAGCGACAGGCTGCGGTGCGTCCTGCGCGGCCCCCCCCGAACCAGAAAGCCCCCGGGGAGGGGAGCTCGGCCTTCCTGTACTGAGGATATTGCAGAGGGCGCAGCATCCCCAGCACAGCATGGGGTTCCCAGTGCCGTGCCTCAGTTTCCCCTCCTTGCACAGAGGCGTCAGTGAGCTGTGGGTGTGATGTGGGTGTGCTGCTCCCACACAGAGAGAAAAGGAAGTGGGGAGGGGGGCAGGGCTCCAGACAGGGACCAATTTTCCTCCGTGCCTGCAAAGCCTCAGCGTGAGAGAGGGAGGAGGCAGCGAGCACAGGGCCGTGGATCGGTGCGCTGCAGCACGCCAGCAGTGAGCTGGCACTGCGGCACTGCAGTGGAGCCATTCCATGCCATCTTATGCCTTGCCATGTCGTGCCATGCTGTGCTGTCCTGCTGTGCCATGCCGTGCCTTGCTTTGCTATACTACACCGTGCCATGTTGTGCCATGCCATGCTGTGCCATGCTGTGCCATGCTGTGCCATGCTGTGCCATTTGTGCCATGTTGTGCCATGCCATGCCATGCCATGCCATGCCATGCCATGCCGTGCCATGCTGTGCCATTTGTGCCATGCCATGCCATGCCGTGCCATGCTGTGCCATTTGTGCCATGTTGTGCCATGCTGTGCCATTTGTGCCATGTTGTGCCATGTTGTGCCATTTGTGCCATGCTGTGCCATGCTGTGCCATGTTGTGCCATGCTGTGCCATGCTGGCACCCAGAGCCACAGCACCCCAACTTCTCTCTCCTTGCATGTGCGCTGTTTTTACTCCTTTCCTTTCCCCTCTCCCCTCTCTGTCATGTCTCTGCTTTTCAAATAACGTTACTCATCCGGAGCAGGACGGCTGTGCTCCGTGTTTGTCTGCCCTGCTTCCCTGGGGAGATGCTCACCCGCACGCAGTGACTGCGCCGCAGAGCCGGGATTACTCATGGTGTAAGGTTTAAGGAATGGGGGGAGCCAGACTTGGCCCTTTGTCTGCAGTTGTTCATTTCAGGATACATTTTTCCCCTCCTCTCTTTCTTCCTCTGCCAATGCTCTCGGCCTGGCTTCCCGTGCTCCCTCCTCCTCCCTCACCCCATGGCATCAGCCCACAGCCCTAGTGGAAGAGGTCCTCAGTGCATCACCAACAGAACTGAGCCCTCCACCCCCCCCCCCCATCTCTGCTCACACTGCAGTTGCCCATTTCCACACATTCTCACCCAATTTCCTCCTCATCCTGCTGCCTGCCATCACCGGGCTGAGATACAGGAGGGGAAAGCCCCACATCTCTGCTCCTCCCAGGGGGGAGTTCTCACACCCCTGATAGGGGCACGATCTGCTTAGGAATGCTCTGCAGAAAAGTGTTTGGGCCGCGGTCCTTCCCTTTCTGCGTGCAAAACTGCAGCAGATCAATGAATATTTTAACAAAGAAATATTTCATTAAAGGAGCTGATTGCTTAATGAACTGTCCCTGTGAGCCTTCAAAATGCAACGTGGTGTGGTGTGGTGTTTTTTTTTTTTCTCCTCCCTTTAACGAAGGCAAAGATTCCTATCACAGAGAGCTGCCTTATCGCGTTGCCATAAAAGCCTGAGCAGCCCCAGTGTGTGGAGCACGGCACTCAGCCCCGATGGGAGCAGGGATCCCACAGCCCAACCCATAACCAACAGCAGTGGGTAGGGCACAGGGCGTTCCCATCCAGCCCAGGCTCATGGCACAGCGCTGGGGATGAGAGCTTCTTGAGCTCTGAGAAATAACATGGAATGACCAATTTTCCATCAAGAAGAACGAAACCTCTTTTTGTGCTTTTGTAAAATTAACGTCTGCCGATGAGCGTCCTGCTCACCCGATGCCAGGTGTTAAAATCCACACGAGGAGGATCTTAGCAGAAAATACTCACAGAGTTTGGCTGTATGATACAGAGATGTGTGTGCGTGCAAAGCTGCCGGCAAACAAGAACATTTCCAAACCAAGCCCAGCAAGTCAGAGCCACCCATCTCA